ACCATCCCAGTTGCATCCCACCACAACCGTTCCCGGGTGGATTATATCCCACGACAAGCATCCTAGGGCCGGCTGTAACCCATGGCAACAGAGCTTGGGGTCTGCCGTATCCCATGGCAACACGCTCCACAGCCTGCTGGTATCCCGTGGCAATTAGACTGGAGCCGGTCATTTCCCACAACAACAAGATCCCAACTTCCGACTGTATCCCATGGGAACAACCCTGGGGCCAACCCTGTCCCTCCTACCTCCCTGCCCCCCTCCCAGTCCGGTCCCCCAGCTCCCCACACGGCTCCCAGCCCCACTCCTCCCACTTCCAGCCCCGTTTCCCCTTTCCTCACCCCGCTGCCAGCCCCACTCCCTGCCCCACATCCTCTCACCCCACTCTTTGCCTCCCGCCTGCGCAGGGCCTCCCGGGGGAGCGAGGTCTGCCCGGTCCCACAGGGAAGCCTGGTCCAAAGGTAGGTGGGAGCCTGGCCATTTGGTCCCCGCTGTCCCCCACGTCCCCGTCTCCCCTCTGTACTCGGGGTCCCTTCGCCATGGGTGCTGGCATTGGGTCTGACGGGGGGTGATGGGGAGGGTGGGGGTCTTCGCTGTCATCCTCAGCCTGTTTCTGTCTTCCCAGGGAGATCCTGGCCACGACGGGGCCCCTGGCGTGGTGGGAGAGAAGGTAAGTGGGGGGCGGTTGATATGCAGCAGAGGGGTGTCCTCCTTGAAAGGCACCCTGGGAAGGGACTGAGCATGGGAAAAACGGGGTGCCGGGCACGGGGAGCAGGTCTGGGCGCTGCGGGGGCCGTGGGGAAAACCCCTCTGCTGCTAATTGTGGGTTTTCTCTCCCTCCCACAGGGTCCTCAAGGTCCTCAGGGACCCAACGGCTTCCCGGGCACGAAAGGTCCCCCTGTAAGTGGGGATGTCTGCGCGTGGTCCTGCCCTGGTCCTGCCCGTGCTTGGGACGATGTGGGAGGCAGAGTTGGGCCGGCACGTCCTCCTCCTCCTGCTACGCCCCATGGGGCGCAGGCAGCGGAGGGGGGAGCCCAGCTACGCAGCCCGTATCCCCCACCCCATGACCTCTGCTCCTGCCCAGGGTCCCGCCGGGAAGGACGGCTTGCCAGGACACCCGGGACAGCGTGGCGAGCCGGTGGGTCCCCTGCTTCCCTTTGCTGAGGGGTGGCACGCCTGGCAATACCCAGCGTTAACCTCTCCTCTCCTCTCCTCTGCAGGGGTTTCATGGCAAAACCGGCCCCCCCGGCCCCACAGGGGTGGTGGGACCCCAGGTGAGTGCCAGAGATGGAGGCACTCGCGTTTGTGTTGACGCGAGCCTGGTGGGATGGAGGGACCCCCAGAAGCTCACCCTGTTCTCACCCCACAGGGTAAATTAGGCGAGACGGGGCCAGTGGGAGAGAGGGGGCACCCAGGTCCCCCCGGCCCCCCCGGGGAACAGGGCCTGCCCGGAGCTGCTGGCCGAGAAGGAGCCAAGGTAGGAGCCGTGCCGGGGATCCGACAGCTCACCCGGACCACCACAAGCCACAGCCAAGCGGGGCTGGGTCCCCTTTAAGCTCTGCAGGGCACAGGGGCTCTTCCCAGCTTGGTGGGGATGGAGCAAAGCTCTCTGGTACTCCTTCTCCACCTTTCAGGGTGACCCTGGCCCCGCTGGCATCCCCGGTAAGAGCGGCCCCCCGGGCATCCACGGCTTTCCCGGCACACGGGGGGCACCCGGAGAGACGGTCAGTGCTGTCCCAGGTTTGGACATGGCCTTTTACGGTCCTGGGAGAGGGGAGGAGGGTCCTTTCTAACCATCTTCTCTGCCCTCCGACAGGGTCCACCTGGCTTGAAGGGTGGGGAAGGTCCCCCTGGTCCCCCTGGACCTACAGTGAGTACAAAGCATCGTGATATTTGAGGGGTTCTCTGGAGTTTCGGGGTGTCCCTAGGAATATATAGACTCCTCGGAGAGCAATTTTGCCACCCTGCTTGAAATCCTTGTGGATAAAGACTTTTTTGGGGGAGGAGGAAGACTGTGGAGGCCTTCTTCCCTCCACCCCACCTCTCTCTTCTCCCCAGGGTTCCCCCGGAGAGCGAGGCCCCACGGGGGCTGCTGGAGGCATTGGACTGCCGGGCCGGGGGGGTGCACAGGGTCCCCCCGGTCCCGTTGGCGAGAAGGGCTCCCCGGTAGGTGCGAGAGGATGTGTGGGGTGAGGCAGGAGGGTTTGGGGCAGCGCGGGGGCAAGTTGTGCCTCCCGTGGGTCCCGGCCAGCCGTGCCCTCAGCCCTTCTCCTTCCTGCCCGCAGGGTGAACGCGGTCCCATGGGTCCGGCCGGCCACGATGGGATCCAGGGCCCCGTGGGGCTGCCGGGCCCAGGCGGACCCCCCGGTCCCGCCGGAGAAGATGGGGACAAGGTAAGTCAGGGGGGGGACACAAGGCAGCACCTCCAGCAACGACTCCTCGGCATTTCACTACCCCCAGCGCAGGGAACGTACCCCGGGATGGGCAGTGGGGACAAGTCCCCTCGCAGGGGACACATCCTAGGGCTGAGAGACCTCCGGGATGGGGCAGGTTTCCCCTATGGCTTCCCGGGAGCGAGGATTCCCCGGGCGGCAGCGGGCTGTTGGTCCTGGCAGGCTTCCTTGGCACTGCTTCCCAGGTGGTGGCAGGTTTCCCCAGCGCTGGGATTTCCTTGGCCGTGGCTCCCCAGCCATGGCAGCTTTCCCTGGCTGCCGGCATTCCCTCCTCGTTGGCTCTCACCATCTTCTCTTCCCTTTTTGCGGCAGGGTGAGATGGGACTTCCCGGACAGAAGGGCAGCAAAGGTGACAAGGGCGAGGCGGTGAGTGCCAAGGGGCTGCTCTGCCCGTGGAGGGTTCTCCCGAGGGGCAGAGCGGCTCCGGGAGCGGCGGGAGATGGGAACGGTGAGGCGGGAGATGTTTGGGAGCTGCCCTAAACCCTGTGTGGGTGCTCCTGTCCCACAGGGCCCCCCAGGACCGACAGGAATCCAGGGACCCATCGGGCCCCCCGGCCCCGCGGTGAGTAGGTGCCGAGCACCCTTCCCACCCCGTTTATTCCTTCGACTGAACTCCTTTCCCTCTTAGCTCCCTTCCCTGCCCTCCCACCCCACACATTGGGGTCTCTCTGGGGCAGGCGGTGCTGACCCCAACCTTTCCCTTCGCAGGGAGCAGACGGGGAGCCGGGGGGCAGCGGGCAGCAGGGGATGTTTGGGCAGAAAGGAGATGAGGGATCGCGGGGTCACCTTGGCCTGAGCGGTCCCCCTGGCCTGCAGGTAAGGAGCGGAGAGGGGTGGGCTTGGGTCTGATGGGACAGCGGGGGACAAGGGACATGTGGCTTCGGGCTCTGCGCAGCCTGCCTGGCCCGAGGCACCCTCTGCTTTACCCGAGGGGCTTCCAAACCCCCCCCACCGTGCTAACCTGCGCTCCCCTCAGGGCATGCCAGGCCCACCGGGCGAGAAGGGGGAGAACGGAGACGTTGGCCCCATGGTAAGGAAATCCCAAGGGAAGGAAACCCCACGTCCACCGCTCCCCCTCCACCTCCTGCCCCGTTTCCACCTCCCCACATCTCCCTCCCCCTGGGAGCTGCACGGCTCAGCCGCCCTTTGCAGTCTGACCCCCACTTCTGTGCTCCCCACAGGGCCCCCCCGGCGCGCCAGGACCCCGTGGGCCGCAGGGACCCAGCGGTGCCGAGGTGAGTATGGCCCTGGGGGGCTCGGTGGGGGCTGCCGGGTGCAGGGGCTGCCCCCCATGGGGGTAACCCCCATCCTCTTGTCTGTAGGGCCCCCAGGGAATGCCGGGTGGCGTGGGACAGCCGGGTGCCGTGGGAGAAAAGGTAAGCCCGCGTTCGGGAGGGTGACGTGGGGCTCAGTCTGGGCGCTGGGGGTGGGCAGCGCTT